TTACTACTGTCTGAAACGATGCCTGAAATAGCAATTAAAAGTTATAGTTCTTGCAGTGGTAATATAGATATAAGAAGTTAACTGAATTGTCATTATGATATCATGGCAATATCACTGTTTTTGTACTTGCTATGTAAATGTCAAATTATCGAACTGATTAATAGACTGCACAGTATTTTGGAACAAAATTTCCATTTTCTGGTTTGGTTTTTGGTTCTGGATTTGGTTAGAAGTCACCAAAAACATATCCTTTTCAGTCATAAGTTTTGAGGAAAATTATATTTTATGCAAGGTGTGTGTCAAAACAATTGAAATAGTCGCATGACATCACATCATTCCTCTAGCTATCTGGTAATTTTGTACTTGCCATAATGACAGGAATGCACATTAAATTGTTCATTTAAATAATATATATATATATGTAATTTCAATTACTCTGTTATCATACAATCTCATATTACAATGTAATATGTTATATATGATGATTTAATTTCAAAGATGATGAGTATAGTAAAGCTCTTGCGGATGACATAGCAAAGAGGCTAATCGTGTCACCACCACAGGTAATTATTATCTCCATACAGATATCGTTTTTCTGACTTACGGTATATTGGTATTTCCTTTGCATACGCATTTCCTTAATATTTGTTTCATTACTGTAAAACAAGTTTACATTTAATTCGGTATTAGCCATTCAAGTATTCATAAATCCAGGTACACGCATTAGCTGTTTGCATCTGGAATGTCAAGTACGTAGTCAATCATGCAACGACACCATTAATTGCTCTTGTTCTTGACCAGTCTGTAATGACAGTGTAAACGAATAAAGAGTAGGATCATCTCATCAACCACTTATAAAAGTAGTTCTGGTTGCTAATTGTGATGCGGCTAGTGCAAGCTACTCGATGCCAATCTTAATACTGGTTTATTTTGTGTACAGGATGAAGAAAGTTTGGAACCACATAACGATAATACCCGCATCAGAGGCCTGAATCCTGAAGAAGCAGGTTCGTCATTATATTTGTTTTGTTTTTGTTAGCTTTAATTTGTTTGCGTAGTTAATTTGTGGTGTTTGTCAGTTTTGTTCATTTGTTTAGATCTAGATCAATTCTATATTTATCGTTCATAAGATATATCAAGTTTAATAACAATTATGACATTCATGTTGTTATCTTCATTTCTGTTTATGTTTATTTTATGTTCATTGATATCATTATCGTCATTATCATTATTCATATTTTGTTATCATCATCATCATTATTACTGTCTGACACGTTCCCTGACATATAATTATAGTTATATCATTATATCATTGCAGTGGTAATCTAGATATAAACATTTGTGTACTGCTCTGTAAATCCCAATTTAGCGAATCGGTTAATAGACTGCAAAGTATTTTTGAACTACTTTCTAATTTCCTGTACAATCATTTTTTTTCCTTCAGACTTGTTATTCTTAATATGGAAAGCATGTGGTTAGAACTCACCAAAAAATATCCTTTTTAGCTAAATGACGTAAAGAAAATTATATTTTAGTCAAGATGTGTACACAAATAAATCTGTCAATTTATAACCTGCTACAAAGGCAGGATTGCACATAATATTGTTAATTAAAAATAATGTAATTTTAATCACTCTGGAGTCATACAATCTTATATAACAGTGTAATATATGATACCATACAGTATAATATGGTTTTTGATGATTTACTTTCACAGAGGATGAATATGTTAAAGCTAATGTGGATACAAAAGCAAAGAGGATATCCATGATCTCAACACAGGTAATTATCATCTACATGCAGATATTGTATTACTAATTTAAGGGAAAACCAGTGAGAGAGAATGAAATGGCTATCTTGTTCAGTAATTCAAATTAAAATCTCTATGAAAGTAAATGTAGTTGGGAGTTATGATTATGAAGAAAATGTTAAATTCTGCCAGAAGAAAAAACAAATTAATAACCTCAGAAATTTGCTTGAAGAAATAGCGTTATAAAGACAATTAAGAGTCTTTTCCCCACACATTTCATTCTCTCGCAACATTTAGAAACAGTAGGATTTTAGGCAGTAAAGTGCCTGATTTTAGGTTCATAGTTACTCCCATTTGACAGCGTGAAGCTCGAATATATCTTTTTTAATATCGAAATCACCTTTTTACCACACTTGTTCGGTTCGCTTGCGGAGAACATTTAGGAGCAGGAGGATTGTGGACAACGAGATGCCCGAATATCCTGATTATAATTTGGGAATTAGTGCTACACGAAACTTTTTATTTTCCAAAAGGTTGCCGCTATAGAAAGGTTAAAAACGATGTACTACAGCATGTCGGGGTTACTGTTTCCTTGCCATATGCATTTCATTTATGATATTAAATTTTGATACACAAGTCTAATACCCACAAAATAAGTAAGCTTTTTTTAGAAAACGGATTCTATACAATCATGCTCTTATGAACTTCAAGTTTATTACTTCATCGCAGGTTTACATTTAACTCAGTACTAGCCATTCAATTATTCATAAACCCTAGTAAATGTATAAGCTGTTTGCATCTGAAATATCATGTTCTTAGCTTAGTCATGCATTGACACAACATATTACTCAGTGTAAAGAAATAAAGAGTGGGACCGCCTCATCAACTACTTTTAAAATGTATTTATAGTTGCTAATTGTGATGCAGTTTAGTGCAAGCTGATCGATGGCAATCTTAACACTGGTTTATTTTGTGTACAGGATGAAGAAAGTTTAGCACCACACAGCGATACTACTCTTGCCAGAGGCCTGAATCCTGTAAAAGCAGGTATGTGTATGTGTTTGTTGTTTTGGTTTTGTATATAGTTTTAGTTTGTTTGTTTTAGTTTTATTTATGGTAAACTATAATCTACAAGCTGAACTTTTTAATAGGTTCCTCACTTTTCACTCTGTATAACCTTCTATTCATTACAATTAATTTCGACGTCTTTTCAAAGAATTAATTATATATTGTGACACTTTTAGTATATTCCATATTATGTTCTAATTTTGTCAATTATGTGAATTCTTTTTATTTGTGAAATGTGAAATAAACTTGAACTTGTTTCTTTGTTTTCTGAACCGTCTATCAATCCTTAATTCATCGTCCGTAAAATGTAAAGTATCAATACGAGTTGATACAAAAATTAGTATTTACCTGTTAAAACTCCCTTTAAAGTGTTATCACACAGAGGTTGTTATTATCCAGTGATGAATTTAAACTGTAATCAATTCTGATCTATTAAATGTCAGTTAAATGAAATATTCTCCCCTAATAATGATTATAATAAATGTATTTACATTTGAAGGCCTTATTTAGGTGGTAGAATGTTAGTGCACACACACCACTCCCTTTGGAAGTATCTTGACCAGGCGCCAATTTACAAACGCACACATGCCAATCCGACCACATTAACGTTCGCATCCTTCTTGGTACCCATGTAATACCTGAGCGGAGAGTGGCAGATGTAGATTAATTATGAATGTATATATCCTACAAACACATATGTGTATTTCTTATTTATTACAGAAGGATTTGTCTTGGATAAGGTGGAGGCGCCCCAGGCTAAAGAAGATGATGAAAATATGCCAAATAAAATAGCAAGTCTGGTGGCGAAAATGCTTACGGAACAGGTTCACCTTAAGGTAGAATTCAATTTTGAACCTTGTATCTTTATGTGGGATAAAATGTACAGGACTATCTACAATGCCTTTGTTTTATCCTAAAATCTTCCACTTCTTTGTTTCATGTTATAAAATCTATATCCGTGCATGCATAATTTATCTGCGTGTTACCACAGAATAAAACTTTACCGATAAGAGTAACCATTAGCAGAATTTAATGAGTCTGTTTCTTCAAAAGCGCAGCGAACCATATTTTTGCGTAGGTAACAGACATTACCAGACTGTCTCGAAAGTGAGTGTTGTGTAACATGACCTTAAACTTTAATGTTAATTCTGATTCAGATTCTGATTCATTTTATTGGTCCATTAGGAAATTCAGTTTGTCATTACATAGATCACATCAACAATATACAATATAAATAATATACACGAATAGATAATACACAGTAGCAAATTTACAATGACGTAGTCATATAGAAACACAGATATATATCGTTTATACATAGTGGAATAATAAAAGAAAATAAATGGGCTTTAATACGACAATTGGCCAAAATACCATTGCGTATAATTCGCTTTTAGAGAGTTGTGACTGCCAGCATATACACTGTTGGTCATAATGGTGGAATAATTTTTTGTACCCCAATTTTTTGAATGATTTTGACAATGATTCATTCCTAATAGATCTAAATAATAGTATACATTCTCAGATTATATTTAATGACAATTGGGAAGTGTTTGTTTTGCGTGATTGCTAAAGCATGTGTGTGCTACTATGATAATTAACTAGGGGACCTACGTCCTTAAGTCATAACTGACAGTAATGGGGATTACTGCTTCATAAAAGGGCACTAATATAGCACATCGACACGTTTTTTATCCCGGGGGCTCACAGTAACGAGACCATTGCTTAGCCAATGAATCATGACTGTACGCAGCGGGCGCTAGGGTACGTCGACGCCCCCACACAGAAAAACAAACAAAGAAAATGCAATTAATTTTCAATAATTCATTGCATTTTGCCCCGACCCCCAACATAAAAAAATCCACTATGTGGGCATGCCTTGAACCATAATGCATGGCCCTACAAAGGATTTTGTCCTGTTGGGGATTGGGGGAAAATGCAATGAATCAATGATAATTTATTGTATTTCCTTTGTTTTGTTTTTGTGTGTGGGGGCGTCGACGTAAGTTTGGACCAAGTGGTTGTGTGATTGTCTTCAGGATCAGAACTAATGTTCCCATTACTTTCGTAAAATTGTTTTTGATAATAATTGTTCATATAGATGTGTATTCATATTCTTTATTCCTCAGGAGATAGGAACAGACAGGACTGATAGTGGTAGAGGAGAAGGAGTCTCACTAAGTATATGGGACTTTGCTGGACACGACATATACTACACAACCCATCAGGTAAAAGAACATTTTAAGAACATTAAATTCCTTGTAAATTCTACCGTGGTGCTAGGAATGCAAATGTGTAAAGTATTATTGTTTTAATCTGGAATTCGAAAAGAAAAAAATTGAATACATTTTATTGACTACAGTCTCGCATCATGGCATTAAAGGTACTATGTCCCATTTGCAGGCCAAAAAATGAAAAGGTTACATTCCAACGGCATTTGAAAGATAATACCAATTTAGAACTCCCCTAAAAAAAAAAGGGAGGGGGGGGGGGCTTGGAAATGTCTTTGCGTGGGAAAATAACGACTATTTGTTGTCAAATCGACTTAGGAGCTAAAGAGCCAATAAGTAATAGTCTTGATTTTCAGACGATTGTACCGCATGGTCGTACGTTTTATGCTGTGCAAAGATTCGATCAGTTTAATTTTGGCCATTACAAGAAGTGGGTTATTGATGTAGACAAATCATTTACAGCTCATTTCATGTATGTTATTACCAAAGAAGAAAAAAGGCAAGTCAGTCACACAATAGTGTCTGACAGTGAAGCCTAGCAAGTAAACGGGTTTCCTTACATAATTTGAATATTAGGACACTGCTAACGTTTACATTTCACAGATAGGACATACATTAAATATTCATAGTTCCTGCAAAGTTCTACAGAATTTGAGGATGGCTGCAAATGGGACATAGTATGTACTAAATATTTGACATTTCTCCTTTGATTTTGGTCAGTTTCAGTGTAGACATTTCATTCTCAAAGAAATTAGAACTGGAGACTATTATCTCTTTCTTTCGTTATAATGCTTCAGTTCAGAGCACATGGATTCACGTTAATATGCAAAGCTGTTGGCCTACATATTGGTTTTACCATAGGTTTTATTCATGTGCATTATTGTGTGGTCCAGTCATAGATGCAAAGTCATGCCCAGGATCTATATTATTGCTTCTTTTATTTGTTTGATATTCCACTGAAGGAGAACTGACTGCACATGTAATAGTTAAGAATTGCTGGCTTCTTGCAATCTAATTCTTAATTCTGTAAAAAAAAAAAAAAAAAAAAAAAAAGTTTTTTTCAACAGAAGTTTCTTATACATTTGACCTGTTAACTGTCACGGAGTAATCTAGGAATTTGATAATATGTATGCAATTGGTTGGTTTATCATTATGTACCTTAGCATAGATACTCGAAAATTGATAACGGCTATATGTATAGAGCCAGAGGACCTACATCAGGCAGTTTTATCCGAAGAACTTCATAATTTTTTAGGAAATTATTGCTATGTCTCTGGTTTGAATACATATATTGCAATTTAGAGACCTATTGCCCTTACTGTTGAAATTTACAAGGGATATGAATGATCTACTTGTTAATCATTTATAGACAGTGCCTAAGGTCCCTTATTATAATAGAAATAAGAGAACACATAGAAACAACATAGTAAGTTAGTTATTAAATAATGTTTATTCATCATTTGTATTGCCTTCTCCTGCAGGTGTTTCTGACGTGGCGAGCCATTTATGTGATTGTCTTTGATCTCAGTAAAAGTTTGTATTCTGTCGTTCCCCCTGAATCCAGAGACGAGTTTTATGACAAGGTATTTCTTTATTTCATTTTATACTGCTTGGTAAAATTAATTATGCTTTACAGTGGATAGATAAATGGAAGATAGGGTTGTGTTGTGCTTTTTTTGTAAACAATAGTTATTTGCTGAATCTTTATTTGTAAAGTTGTACATATTTTCGTCATTCATTACTTGTGTAAAATGTATTTATGTATTAATATTATGATAGCTTTTATTGGTTGACGTTTAGACTCTTTGTTCAATACAGCTTCAACTACCCGTTTCGTTTTTGATTAATTCATGTGTAAATCGTTGGTGCAATTAAATCAGTGATGTATAAACTTTTTTTTTCGAGAGCATGGTGAGATATTAAATAGTTGAAATGTACATCTCTTTGAAAGTCCATCTGTGTTAAAAATACACGTTGGTCTACAAGGTTAAGCTGCCAATCACTTCAACACTTGGGCATTTTGCTCAGGCTTTTTTTGATTAGTTAGTCTGATTTTTCTGCTTCTATTGGAAGTAAGTTATTTTTTGGAGTGGACTTGGGCTTTAAGCTAACTTTATGTTGCAATCCTTCGTCATGATAATTTTATGGTAATATTGCAATTTAAGTAAATAATTATGATAATGTAATAATTAAATAACTTGAGTATGATTCTGTAATCGGTTCGTTTTTTACAAGATAATAAAGATAAATAAATCAATGAATTATTCAACAACTACAAAATTGCAAATTATGTTAGATGTGAGGAGTGAGATATGTATTCCTTATATGATTACAAAGCATGGTGTTTATGTGTGTTTTTATCATTGGCCTTATCATATATACTTCTTTACAATTAAAACACAGGCTAAAGGAGGTGCCAAATCAGAACTGACATGTCTAGAGTTCATCAATTTCTGGTTGTGTTCCATCTTCGCCCATGCTGTGGCGCCCTCTTCGGTCAAGAATAACGATACGTCTACGCCTACTCAAAAATCTCCACCAATATTCATCGTTGGAACCCATCGAGAAAGTGTGCAAGGAAATGCAAAAGAGAAAAAGGAAAAGGTAATGGTTCATGATATACGTGTATGTTGATGATAAAATAATAATTGTGTTTACCCCAGGAAGCTCCATCAGCATCAGCTGTTCTTCCTGACGGTCCTCCAATTTTTGCTATCGCCAATACCCCCAAATGCCGCGATGTGCGCCTGACGGTGGTACACGTAATATGCATGCACAATAAACGTATCTGAAAGTTATTTCGATCGTGCAGGGATTTCAAACTTGTCTAGCTTGCTTTCGGAGCAACTTTTTCCAGGTCGTAGGATTCGGGGCAATTTTACCCAAGTCACATCTCTCATTCAGGGATATATCTGTGAAGGTTTTTTTTCTTTCTTTTTTTCTCGCGACCAGCACACAGCAGATTTACAGTATCGCACCATATTCCAAATGACAACTCAGTTTGTAAAAAAAAAGGATAATTGCTTACGATATACTGTTTAAAAAAAGGGGGAAGTGAAAGGTATCGCCATCCAACTATTGCAATTTTATATTGACTACCGGCTGCCACGCCTCTCCGCACCCGCCAAATCGGAAGGCACAGTACAGCCGCACATAATAGAATGGAAGCGACTAACTCGCCAAGCTAACCCAGAGTGAATTTGAAAAGGGGGCAATTAACTAACATCCAGTCATTTGGAGGTATTGGCGATAGGTTGAATAGTGGCAAATATGGATTAATAGGTACCTCTAGATTTGCGCGGACTGATACGTGTGACGTCCATTCAAAGCAGTGCATTAAAAGGACGTCGACCGTAGCAATTCCCATTGTCTTCGTGCGAATCTAAAAGTCCCTAATGTCTTGCCAAAGGACGTTAGTGCCGGGCTGGGATTCAAACCCTCTAACCTTACATTATAAGTTAAGTAAACGCCTTACTATGCCGCGACACCTCCTCGTCTATGATGTGTTTTGAACCAAGAGTTAGTACACACGGACAATAACATGAAATATACACTTTATACTCCCTTTACACAGACAAGACCGACACCAGAACGACAAAGATCGAACAAAAAGTACCATACCCGGAGTTAGACTGAAAGCTTCAGCCTCTGAGTTTATCGACGGATGTTTCGCTGATACTTCATCTGACTAGACCGAGATGAATGATTTTTTTTCTTTATCTTTATGTCTTCAAATATCCACTTTAGCTGCAATACTTCAATCCTAATATATTTACTGATAAATAACTGTGTATTATGTATTGTGTATATGTTTTTAATTTTTGTTTGTTGTCATTTTTAACATGTTCTTTGTCCCTTGCCTACAGGGCTCCCTTAAAAAGCAGGCCTTGCGGCGTTGATGGGACTATCCTGTATTTCAAAGAAGTCTGAATAAATAAATAAATATACTAATGAATTGATTAACATTCCTCGTCATCGTGGAAAAGGGCAAAAACTGAAATATATACTTTGACTTACGATAGCTTGCTCATTTTAATAGCTCCTAAATTAACTGTTAATTTGAGAAAGTATTTTCGTCAACAGGAGCCGTTGTCAGGTTGACAAATGTCAGTTTTAATAAAAAATTCCCCATACCAGAAGGTTATTTCTGTCTGACCCTGAGTGGCTATTATATTGGTCAATTGGTTTTTGTTAGGAGTCAGTTTGGCATTGGGAGTGGGCTATGGTATTTAAACAGCTTGACTAGAATAACTTTGCATTATTTGGATTTATATTTTATTGTGAATTGGATTTTTAAAGGAAAACTTCACCCTGATTTCTTGTTGGTTTCGATAGTACCAGAAAATTAGAAAAACGGATATTTATTGATCTCTCATTTTCCCCCTTGTAGCATAACCAATGAGATATTATGGTGGACTTCAATTGCATTATGATATTTCTTTTTGTTTGCATAGAATATAATGATCTTATATGAAGTGAGGTATGCATGCATGCTTTAACATTATAAGTAAAATTAGTATTCTTATTCATTTCACTCTTTTTGTCTTCAAGATTGGCTGTGCCTTTAAGGAGATCCGTGAATCTATCATGAAGAGGCCGTTTGAATGCCATGTGGTTCCCAAGTATTATGCTATCGAAAACAGCTTAGAGGACAAAGATGAAGAGGTACATTATGAATAATCATCAACTATCACAATTTATAGTAACCCTATAGCAAAGGAGTATTACTGATTATCTATACAATCCAAAAAGTAAAGTGGCTTTTCCTTGCACTTACAAAGTGCTGCACAAATTGCTCCACGTGTTTGGACCACTTCAACAATAAAGTATATCACTTCAAAATGTTAAGCTAACGCAGTCAATTGTTCTGTAGCAAAATAAAATCTACAAATCATATCATAACTTGGGGCCACTTGAATGAAATGTGATTGTTTTTTAAACTCGGTTCTGTTTTTGTCTTAAATATTGTCCCAATGTTTGAACTATGGCATATATTATGATGCTCTTTCAAACACAAAGAGCTGACATACCCAAAAGCTGCTCACTCTAAAACGTGATGTTCATTCGTTTTAACATGAAATTCAATGTTTTGTGATAGTAATCCTAAATCTGTCACTTATAGAATCATAATTCCGAAACACTTTTAATTTTATGCTAGTTACAAAAGGGTAATTCTGAAAAATAATATTTAGTTATATAATATTTTAATGACTGCGCATGATTCATGCTTTAATTGCCTCTCTAAATAATACAACTGTAAACATATGTTTTTTATATGCATCATATCACTTTTTTCATTACCCATTGTCGATTCTTCTCCACATTTATGTTCTACATCTAGGCTCCCTACATCGATGATCCCTTTCTAACTCTAAAGTGATATTTTTGTGCAATAAGCTTAATATTCATGAACATACTCAATTTTTCGTTGCATTAATAATGACATTGCCTTAAATATTTTGATAATTATTTATCCACATCTTCGTACCATGTTTATGAATATTATAGTATTAATGACTGCTTTGAGAGAAATAGTTGTTTTTATACGCTTAAGGGAAGGTTAGAATTGTGCTATTGCCCACGCCTCGGGCAATAGCCCAATTGTAACCTTCCCGAGAGCGTATAAAAACAACTATTTCTCAAATATTAAAGCAGTCATTAATACTTTTATATGCCGAAAACAAAAGAGTCAACTAATGACACCACCTTGGCCTTTCTCTAGTTTATCTGCGGTTGTTTTTTATGAGTGTATCTTTGAGAGTAGACTAGATCTAGATTCTAGTCTAAGCAAGACATTTTTACAATTTTGGGGGTGGGCCGGCCCTGTGGGAAATATAGAGAAGAACCTGCACTTTCATATGGCACCTCACTTATTGAGTATCACCTTCAGGATCACAACAGATAAAGGTTTGAATCTTGAATTGAAAAACAAAAACTTGACTTTTGTTTTGGATGGTCGCGCAATGCACGTAGACTGCATATAGACTGCATTGCGTGCAATCTCTATGGGAAGAATTTCAGCACACAACATCGGGTGCGCGATCAGACACCCTGACTACTAGATCTATTTTCGTCTACTTCTATGCTGGTACTCCATTTTCAGCAACTTAACGAACATGTTTATGGATAATTTCACGTACCCTTTTTGTTGTTCTTGCTGTCAGCGAGTCTTGAATTTGATAAGTTGAAATCTTGGGAGAGTTTCTTTGGCCATTTTTGTCTTGTTTGGAATTGTCTTGTCTTGTATGAAAATACCGAACAATTCTTCGCACACGTACGGTATCCGCAATGGCTCAAACCATTTTTAACATGAAAACCTATGGGTATTTTACCAAGACTGAACTATTTTCCCAGTAACCATGGTTACTGGGATTTTAGAACTATTTTTTTTGAACTATTACATGGGTTTGGAATTTTACCGGGAATTTTACAGGAATAGTTAAAGTTTATAAATGCAATTTCGACCAATCAGATGGCTGGATTTCTTAAGTGAGGTATATAATTTGTAATATTTAATAATAATAATAATAATAATAACAGCCTAATAGTCCACTCCAAATTTTATTAAACCGAAACGGAAATTCTTTTTGCCCAATTGATCGTGAGCCCGGCAGCCACTGAGCAGCGCCAGATCGACGTTGCTCTATCCCTTATATTGGCGTGTGATATAATACCATTGCTATTTAGTATATTGTTTTTTGTATTTTGAAGTTTTATTATGATGTAAATATCTGAATAATTTGTAAAACAGACAATAACAATATATATTTTTTTAAATAAACAATAAACCGACCAATACTTACTGCTCTTTGAAGCTGGTTGCGTTGAGGAGACATATTGAAAAAGTAGCGATAGAAGAGCCTTACATGGGAGAAGAAATTCCACTCAGATGGCTCTTATTTGAGGAAGCTCTAGCTGCAGATCAAATCAATTACATGACATTAGATCAGGTAGGACTGCAACTCTTATTCTTGCCATTTTTAAGTAATTTACATTGATATGTACTGTAGTGTTTCAAATAATTTTCGCTTGGGTATTGAGGTAAACGAAAATTAGAGAGCATTTGTATAGATATGATGTTTAAATTCTTTTGAAACCTTTTTTCTTCTTCTTCTTCCAAATTTGCCATTTTTATGTACTGGACTTTCTAGCTATTTTTTTAGTATGTATTACATTTTTAAGTAAATTTAAGTTGTGTCCTTATTTCATTTCCTCATAGCTACGTACAACTCTCCTGGTATTGTTGGGAATATGTAATGCTTTATTATTTAAATGCATCAATGATACCCTTTCAATTTTTAAATGGCCAAGTTTATGCCCGTCTTAATAATGGATGTAGTGCCTTTGAAAATCTTGGCGTCGGATTCAGGCAACATGTTGCCTTCTGTAAAAGTATTGTTTCATTATTATATTTATATTCTGTATATTATGCCATTTGTAAATTAATTGCCATGTTACTGTTATGATATATTTTTTATGTGATACAAATATTTGTGATATTTTTCACCAATCATATGATTTTTAAGTCATTGTTTGTATTCTCCCAGACCAAGAAACTGACGCAGCCAGTCGGGATGGAATCAGAGGGTGAACTATTCACGATGCTGACCTTCTACCACGACCTGGGTTACATAGTCTACTACGGAGGCATTGAAGACAAGCAGTCTCTCCTAAAAGACATGGTGATCCTAAATCCTCAATGGCTGATTGATGTCTTCAAGCAGGTCATTACCATCCTGGATCCCGCAGAGATGGTAAGAGACCTCCTTCTCTTTTACAATCTCATTTATGTATGATGCGGTAAGCTGCAGCAGTTGTTTTAATATACACAATGAATTGGAAGTGGGAATTAAAAACTAATTGCGTACCACAAAGGTCCTATGCAGTCGGTCTTACGAGACATTGATGTCTTTAAGCAGGTCATTACCATTCTTTGTTTTGCAGAAAGAGGAAGTAACCTTTTCCTCTATTCAAACAAATATTGTGGATTTACATAGAGCTTAATACATCAACAATGTCCGTACTAGCTTTACATATGTATCATTTCCCCCGTCATCGGATTCAGACAAAATGTATCTATGTGTTAACAAATAGAAAATTAGAAGTACAGTACACTTACAAGGTAAACTGCAGCACTATAACCTATGTAAAAAAAAAAGGCTGTAAAGAAGTCTCCTGACAGAAAGAGTTTTAGAGTATTGATAACAATGTTAGGACATATTTTTCATACCATGTAGTAATGGTTTACAATCTATACTCCTATGTCCAGTTACTTTAACTGCCATTAAGTTTACATTGTGTTTTAATTCCAGGACGGGATCGTGAGTGATGCTTGGGCCACTCTTGAGAAGGATGGTATCTTAGAGGATAGGTTGATTCAGCATATGTGGCAAGGCTTCTTGGGACAAAAGGAGGCCTTAGTCAAGCTTATGGCCAAGTTTGATCTCATTTGTGAGGCTCCTGTAGAACGACTCCAGCAAGCGCAACAGGATGGAGTCGACACTGAGGTAAATATCCAGCTAAATGGTGCTCCCACCCGTGCTCCCGCAGCAAAGCCCCATATTCTGTCAAAGGTGTAGGGTTATGGTTATAATTAGGTTTTCGATTTACGGTTAGAGTTTATTGTTTGGTCCAGTGCTGAAGTTAGGCATTCGGTTAGGGTAGGAAATTACCATGAAGCAATTCTCGCAGGTGCTAAACATCATGTTTTAAGTAAGCCTCAAAATATTTTCGCTAGAAATATACGGACAATAAAGGTGCAAAACAGAGGCCTTTTCCCAGCTTGTTTATATAGGTATACTGCCAAAAAAATGACACAGGGTTGGAAATAGGTTCATAATGTCGAAATGTTAAATGTGCTTAATTTTGATACCATAATTTTGTTTATATCTTTCCATACATGTTCCTTTTAAAATGCTGTTTTGTGCTGTGAAAAGTAGGGATTAAGTACAGTTTTGACAGCTTTTACAAATGGTACTAAAATGTCCTTTTTCCAAATTTGGAATCACAATTGCTCAATAGATCCACGTTGTTGTGAAACTTGCTACAATTCAGTGACATGAGTAGGATGTGTGAAATGAAATAATGAGTGAAATACGAATTGATTTTTTTTCTTTTCTTTTTGGATTTTACAAAATGTATTTTTTGTCTTGGTATATTTTGTTTTGTATTCATGGTTTAAGTGTTTGGATATGTTTTAATATTTTAGGTATCAAATGCAACAGGGAAAGTGGTAAAGAAGCGCTACTACGTTCCTTCCAGGCTGACGTCCCATTGCTCCCCAGAAGAGATTGCACAGATTAAATCTTCTACAGACTTTTATGTGGACTTCAGGGGCTTCTTAACAGGTGAGAATTAATTCATCATCTGTTTACAGCCAGATGGGTGTTAACACGTGTAATGTATCGCTGAGTTTATGCCTTTCTTGCTCCAAAGGGACTGTATGGCAATTAGATTGCAACAAGGTTTGTATAAAGTCAAACCTGTCGAAGTTGCCACCTCTCTATAAAATGCCTCCTGTCTAGAAAGACCATGCATTTTGTCTCTCTTGAGAAAGCAAAATGTGTCCTTACAGACCACCTTTCTATAGTGGCCACTTGCTCCATTTTCCTTGAGTGTCCTCAATAGACAGGTTTGACTGGCCTGTACAGGTTGTTACCAAGGATGACCCATGTATCCAGAGTAAACAAGAAGTTCACTATGTCCAACTCACGTATTGATTTGAAGATTTAAGGATTGCCTTCAACCTTGAGTAGAAAAAGGGTAAATTACAGACTATTCATGATATTGTTTTGGTATCAGATTTGTCTACAGTATTCTTTTCATTTGCTTTAATAATAATGATAATATCAATATTGGATATTATATCCTGCATCAAAAATTTGTTGACTTTTGATTGGTTGAGAGCTCGTCACCTGATCAGAAATATTTGACCTTTTTTTTAGAAAGTATTATATGAGAGTACTATTTTGGTTTACTATTTGGGAGTTGAAAAAAATGTGAATTTTTTTTTTAATTGAAGACATTTTTTTTTTCAAATCTTAATTTAATGAAAACAAAATATTTTAATTCTTTTTAGATAAAAATTAACATTTTTTTTGTTCTAATTTTTTTAAATTTTTTTAAAAATATTTTTTTGATGCAGAATATAAAACAAATATACCATGCCTTCTATTCGAGGTACTGGTTAAACTATGGGCCTCGGTGACCTCAAAAGAACCATTTGCTTCGGGGGCTGTGCCCCCCCCCCCCAGCAAATTGTACTATTGGAGTCCCCAGATAGCAAAATATCTGGGGCCCATCTGGGTTTTGTATGGGCTGACTAAAACCCACGTGGCCCATACAAAAACCAGATGTATACCAGATGGGCCTTCCCACCCAGAACCCACACATATGGGCCCCATGTGGGCCCCATGTGGGTTTTTGTTTGTGAAAATCGCACTTCGAACATCGGCTGGGCCCAGCTAAAAACCAGATGTATACCAGATAGGCCTTCCCACCCAGAACCCACACATATGGGCCCCATGTGGGCCCCATGTGGGTTTTTGGTGGTGATAATCGAACGTCGAAGATTGTCTTCACCCAGCTGAAAACCAGATGTATCCCATATGGGCCTTCCCACAAAGAACCCACAGGTACACGGAGCCCACGTGGCCCATTTAAAAACCAGATGTATACCAGATAGGCCTTCCCATCCAGAACCCACAAGTACCAACACATATAGGCCCCATATGGGCCCCATGTGGGTTTTTGGTGGTGATAATTACACGTCGAAGATTGTCTTCACCCAGCTGAAAACCAGATGTACAGTGCGTCCCAGAAAAAACGAAACCGAGAAGTATCGATGTTCTATCATAACTTAATCACAACTATAATTAATGAATGATACATATTTGGAAAGCTTATAGAGTCTTTTCTTTCATGTGATGCTACTCAGATAATGCATATTTCACGCATGAGTGATTAAAAGCAATTTGAAGGAGGGGAACCAAAAATACATTTGGCGGGCGGTATCTGAATTTCGAAGTAAAATTCACATTTCTAGAAAGTTGAGTTTCTGTCCTTTCATATGACACCTCAATCAGGAAAATTGAGCGAGGAATGACAAAGTTCTGTTTGTTTAAAGTAGTGCTTGCATTTCCATAATAAACGAATTCGTTTTCACTGGCTACCTGCAGTAGCAACAAGCAAAATTGACAAAAGACTTAACTCCGTTTCGTTGACAATCAGCCGTAGATGAGAGTCTTCATGCATGGCTGATTGTCAACGAAACGGAGTTAAGTCTTTTGTCAAATCTGCTTTTTGCTACGGCAGGCACCCAGTGAAAACGAATTCGTTTGTTAAAATTATGAAAATGTAAGGGCTACTTTAAACAAACAGAACTTTGTTATTCCTTGCTCATTTTTCTTGATTGAGGTATCATATGAAAGAGCAGAAAATGAACTTTCTAGAAATATGAATTTTTCTTTGAAATTCAGATACCGCCCGCCAAACTACTTTTTGGTTTCCTTCCTTCAAATTGCTTTTAATCACTCATGCGTGAAAAATGCATCACGTGAGTAGCATCAACTGAAAGAGGAGACTCGAAGCTTTCCAAATATGTATCATTCATTAATTATGGTTGTGATTAAGTTATGATAAAACATCGATACTTCTCGGTTTCGTTTTTTCTGGGACGCACTGTATATCAGATGGGCCTTCCCACCAAGAACCCACAGGTATACGGAGCCCACGTGGCCCATATAAAAAACAGATGTATACCAGATGGGCCTTCCCATCCAGAACCCACAAGTACCAACACATATTGGGCCCATATGGGCTCCATGTGGGTTTTTAGTGGTGAAAATCGCACGTCGAACATTGTCTTCGCCCAGCTGAAAACCAGATGTATACCAGATGGGCCTTCCCACCCAAAACCCACAAATATATCCCATCATTTGCATAATGAGTATGGGGTGCGGGCACATCTATGTTTTTTTTAACAATTTATCTAAATTTACAGGATATTTCTTAATTACTGATGATTTAGTTATTTGCAATTCATTTCGAAAATACTACAAAATGTAAATTGCCAATTATTAGGAAATTTCACTACTTTGTTTAAATTACATTTAATTAAACATGAATTAGAAAAAACACTAACTATAATCTAAAACAGATTCAATAAAATACAAGTATATGGAAATGTCTTTTCACAACCAAGTCTTCTTAACACCAATACCTTTACATTGGAAATGTTAGACGATGTGTTGTTGCCATTGACCAATTTAATTAGTACAAGTGCTACATAACCTACTAATTATGTCTGCTAATTGGAGCTTTCAATCAGTGGTTGAAAGTTGTGCCAAATGGTACGACTGGTCCAGTTAAAACTGGTAACCCTGGAAATTGAAATGGGATAAATGAATTCAACTTGGAAAAATAGGAACCCATTTAAACAATATGAAGCCCATTTAAAACCACATTGGCCCATATGGATCCCATATAAAAACCCGCTTATAGCCCATATGGGGCCCATATAGAACCCACTTGACCCATATATAGAATGTGGTAGGTCCCACATAAAACCCACATATGGCCCATCTGGTGCCCAATAGGTAACCCTTGTGTATATTGATGGGCCAATTGTGGGGTACATCTGGGTTTCACGTGGGCCCATCTGGGCCAAGTGGGTACAATCTGGGCCGCCCATCTGGGGCCCTTCTATAACCCGGGTGCAGATTGCTGGGCCCCACATGGGGCCTATCTGGGACCCATCTGGGCCAAATGGGCCAAGTGGGCAAGAGATGGGCTGGCCCATCTGGGCCAAGTGGGCCAGCCCAGTTGTAACCAGATAAAACCCATATGGGCCCCATAACATTTTGCTATCTGGGTCACCTCTTGCATAGTTTTAACCAGAACCTCTCAAGGCAGTGTATATTTGTATAATATCAGAGTGCACATATCCACCACGCAAGGTGCTCAAGGTGCTCCAATATTACCCCGGCTCTGCTGTGTTACTGATTGTAGGTTGCTCCCAGCAAATCAATGAATCCTTCCCTGCCGGTACCCTTATAACCCCTGGGTGGAGAGTGGCAAATGTAGAATAATGTATTGTAAAAGAACGTGTCAGGGCGGTTAGGTGTACAAACCACTAGACATAGTTATTACCATGTTAATAGTCGGAGTTTAGTCCATCTTTTTGGAAACTTGTATTTTGTTTCTCAGAAATATTTAATTGTCTTGAAGTATTAGCGCAGCTAAGAAATCTTTTTGAGCTGGCTTTCACAACGTCACTAGCCATAATATGTTGGTCATCTCTCTTGTTTGCTATTTACACAGATGGTCTGTTTCATCGGTTGATGGCGAGAACAGTCAGATGGATGCGTGAAAGAGATGCACAACCAGTGAATCTTTTCTATCGGCACATCAGTCTTATGGTTGATGAAGTGCATCATGCCTTACTAGAGATGTTACCTCCTCGTGAAGCAACTATCAAGGTCTGAGCAAGCGTCAGCAATACCTTTTACTTTTTTTTATGGTGGAGATACTGAATTGTAGGTACATTTTTTGAGGCCGCACATCGGATCCCTTCATAGGCAATAAATAGCCTCCACCGGGCAATGTCATAGTCAATCTCCTGAAGTCAATCACACCATACGTAGAGAATCAAAAGCTCTTCGGGGCGCTTATTCATTTTAAAGAATTGCATTGTGTAACCCTGAAACGTTACCTATTCAGTTCAAGGTGTGGTTCTTAGTCCTGTAATCTGAAAAGCGAAACCTCATATATAATATCTCACCTTTAGTGTTTTAATTTGTATTAAAAACACATACATTCTTAGCTGATAAATGTATTTAAGATATGATCACAAGCCTAATAAATGTTTCTATTTATAATTTATCTTTTTGTTCTCGTTTTGTTTTGTAATGTTTTGTTATATTTTGTTATTCGATAATTTGTAGTTTTAGATCGTATTTTAATTGTATAATGCAATTATTGCTCTCTTACAAATCAGTTTATGTGCGCTGAGGAGCATAATCTTTAAAAAAACGCACACAGAATAAAATAAATTTATTAAAAAAAAGGAGTAAATGACCCTCACAAAATTGAAGGAAACTGTACACAATTACACACCATCATATTATTAATTTCTTAATCTTTTCCCCTTTACCTTTGGTGCTGAACATGTCAGGTCACTGTATTCCGAGGAGCGGTAGCTGATTCTGATCATGATGGGGATAGTAATACACCTCCAGCTCCAAGTGCTGTCAAAGAGGTAGGTAGCTCATCAGGATGGTTTCAATAACTACACAATAGACATCAACAGAGACGGAGGCGCATACCAGTTCTCTGATATTTGCGCGTTCACAAAATCTTGTTTGTGTTCGATTGGAAAACTGGTAGCTTGCTTAAGTCTGCCAGTTTAAATCTTAGCCTCTAAACCATGGAATTTAAACAGTTTTTGGATGTGTCATAGAACGTTTATTTATAATAGAAACTACAGTTAACTCTGCATTTAGTCAATTCGGTTGGGACCGCGAATAAATAGTTTGACTTAGACTAAATGTAACTAAAAGTGACTCGGTAATGTAGCCTCAGGAGCTGAAACAAAATCCTGAATTTAGCTCATGCTGCAATCATAACTATCTACCTTTAGGTCAGTCAGGAATCCCATGACTTTTACAAGTCGATCGCCTGTCTGATTATCAAGATATTTACGATTGGAAATCGAAATTTCATTTCGTTTTCCTAACGGTTTTTATAACACTAAAGACTATTGGGGAAAATGAGTATGGTAAAATTGATCACTCAAAGACTTTTACTTTTGGGGGTTACTTTTGGGGGGCACTGATCATTTTGAAGCGCAATTTGTTTAGGGCGTCAATATTACACCATATCACAGACACTGATGACACGTAGGGCCATGCATCTCAGAGTTAACATTGTTAAACGATGCCTTTAAGAAGCGTACATAATACATGACTTGCATAGGTTTTTCCAAAAAAAAAGTTTAACTATAAACGACAAAATACGACTTTTACGTGAGTTATGCAGAGTTAAAGAGAAGGTTCATTGATTTAAAAAACTAACTTTAATGTCATTATTGCAAATTCAAAGTAATGAATATTAACAATTAAAAAACGCTTAGATACAGCCCAGACATAGCGCCTGAAAATCTCCCCGGTCGCTGCTGAGATATGACGTCTCATGTTGAACATGATGTGCACAAGCAGACGATGTCCCATGACATCTCACACAATTTCAGTGCCTGTTTTGTCATCTTTTCTTGAGTTCTTTTCTTATTTCAATACCCTCAGGCGAAATTTGTAATCTATTGCCTCACTCTAAACCCCGTGCATGGTATTATTCTGATGAAAAAAGCGAGGATAAAAAGAAGGGAATCCGTCGCTTGTAAACGCATTTTATTTTCAGCTGCATACACCGCGGCATGATCGGCGTTTAAAGAGGGAACAAATTACATCCATGCTATCATTCCGGAGGTTTTTAATTTGAAAGTGTGGTTTCTTTGATTGTTCATTAACCCCTATCCTGTGTAGTGACGGCATTAAAACATCGTTGTTTTTCCGGCGAACCTCTCGCATGTACCAGATGCTATGGAGGTTGTTTTATTTGTAATTTTATAAATCACCCGATATGTAGTTGACTTAAAACTTGCATGATGGCCATCTATTAGCTTACCAGTTTCTTCGCTATTTGCCATATTTGTGATTTTCTATGAACCGCACTTTAACTGTAATTGATTTCTTTGAGTCATGTTAGATTGGAGGAGAGTAAAGTTAGACAAAACAGTTAATATAAGCCATATTTTACATCTAGTTTATGTGGTAACACAGTTCAGCTATCAATCTGTGAAACTTTGTGTTTCATCAAAATGGTACACCTTTCTCAGACCGTTCTTTGTCAGTAGGTTTATGGACAATTGTAAATGAACTTACAAAAGAATAGTTCATTATTAATTTTGGTCGAGATATATTGGAAACCAAACCTGGAAATAAATATACTGTTTATGGATCAGGAAGTTGAGCGGACCATTTATTTGTCTTCACCCAAATCGGCAATGAATGTTCATGTGTCCCGGACTTTGTTAGGTTAAGAGACAATATAAACCAATGTGACGTGCTATCAATGCATCATTCTAATGACAGTTTCGTTGTAGATCCATCTACTATGATATGTGAATTTAAATAACAGTTAGGTTAGCTTGAAGTAGCCAAAATTAATTTAAAGATAAAACATCTGTCTTGGGGCTGTTTGTGTATTTATGGCAGGTGATGGACTTTGTAACGGAAACCCTTGATAGCCTTATTCAGCACTGGGCTAGAAGGATGGAGTATGATGTGCGGTTTACGTGCCCGAGTCCCAAGTGCAGTAAGAAGAAACTGCTTAAAGACTGCTACAAGGGAAAGTCACTCAAGTGTGGACTACATAACATCCCTACGGCTGCAATCAAAATCAAGTTTGGTAGGTATATAAGGCTTGGTACCCCACCAAAAACTATTTTGCTCTCTATTAAAACAAATCTCCCACGCAGAAAACCTATGGTCACATTAGTTAGTCTCTCGGATAGTCTTTGAGTGAGGGAAATGTAAGATAATAACTTGTCCATATAGATAGGTAGTCGAATCTATTTCATTCATCATGAAAAAACATTTAAATAAAATAACATACAATATCGCATAGATATAAATTCAAAATAATAAACATTACAAGGATACGCACACAACATAATATACATCATAAAGGTAATCTGGACAAAACATCTACTGAGTAATAATTAGGTTTTATATCTCTTTCAAGAAACATTTAGTGATGGACCAGATTTGATATATAACGGTAAACTGTTCCAGAGTTTGGGCCCTTTGAAAAAAATACAATTTTTAGCTGGTGAGATGCGTATTTTGGTAAATGAAAGTCTGAAGTTCCACATGTGTTATAAAAATGTATATCGGCATTATAACAAAAAAAAATCTGAAATACTGTGTGGTTTATAGTTTTCAAAATATAATTACATACACATTGCAATGTCATAATCAGAGAAATCAAATATATTCAACATATTCAGGTTATTAAATAACGGCTTTGTATGGGCAAGAACATTTGCATGCGAAATGATTCTGGGTGATCGTTGGTTGGTGAAAAATGCGAAGCATTACATAAGGCCTGTTGGTCATAAAACTGAAGGCTAATTCTGGTGATTGATAACACCTGTTATTTGATAAACAGCCGAATGGTGTAACATTCCCGATGAGAGCCATTGATGCATCTTTAATATAGATAAAAGTCACTCATGTGTAGACTAGTTGACCCACCTGTACACACTGACATAGAATAGGGCCTGCATGGAACCCAAGTCTTATACTTTCGTACGTGGTGGGTTATGTTATACTTGATTTTCTTCATACTCCTCAACTATTATGCATATGTGGGGGGTTCTTACCGGTACCTTTCTTCTTAGGGAGTCCACCCATGAGATCATACAGAGGTGTGGCTATCTTAGAAAATCCAGGGATGAATTTCCTGTAATAGTTAGCAAATCCAATAAAAGAACGAGCTTCGCGGACACAAGTAGGCCGGGGTAGCCCAACTTCTTAGAGATTCAATTTTGTATGGGTCAGTTTTAATACCTCTTTCTGAAATGATGTGACCCAAATATTTAACTCTTGTTTGCAACAATTTACACTTTGACGACTTAAGCTTAAACCCATGTTTCGCCAAGCGAGCAATTACAGCTTCGAGCCTCACAAGATGTTCATCGATGGTCTTACCATACACTATTATATCATCTAAATAAACGACACAACAAATGTGATTCAATTCTCCTAGGCATTTCTCCATCGCGCTTTGAAAAGTGCTGCGAGTATTACAAAGTCCGGAAGGCATGCGATTGCACTCCTACAATCCAAGCGGAAGGAGAAGTGCAAATGCAGTATTGTGCTTTTCTTTCTCATCAACTTCAAACTGCCAGTAGCCAGATTTCAGGTTCAAGGAGCTAAACCCCCGGCCCCCCCCCCACTCAGGTTTCAAAATGACCGCATGCGTGTTGCCAAAATGTCCTTTTCGTAACAAAAGAAAAAGGTCGAGCCGTATTGACTTTACACACCGGACTTTTGCTGAAAAGGGGGGGGGGGGATGCTGAAAAAGGCTCGTATACAAAAGTAAAAGGTCGAGCCGTATTGACTTTACACACCGGACTTTTGCTGAAAAGGGGGGGGGGTCGGTTGGAACACGCATATGCGTACCCTAAATAACACTGAGTGGGGGGGGGGGGCGGCCGGGGCTAAACCACCTTGCACCATGGAGTATTTGGAGCGTGTCATATATTCTTGGCAAAGCATATGAATCGCGGATTGTGCGCTAATTAAGCTGGCGGAAATCAATGCAAAATTTCAAAGTTCCATCTTTCTTGCGAACAAGAACGACAGGGCTTGCATACTGGGAGAATGATTCCCTAATGACGCCTGATTCATGCATAGACCTAATGTGTACACGCACTTCTTCGTATATTGAGGGAGGGATCCGCCGGTACCTCTCCCGAAATGGCTGTGTATCATTGAATTGAATTGAATTGAATTGAATTCTCATTTATTTCATTCTCGATTACAAATTACATTGATACAAAAGATACAAAACTATTCATGAACAAATGTAGAAATGAAATGGGGAACTACATAAATAAAGCCCTTAGACCTTGTACAAGCATAGTTTCCAAAGCATTCATTGCATAATGTAAAGCAAAGATAAACAAAAACAAAGATTAAAAAAAACATGAATAAAAAAGAAACAAAAAACAGAAAACAAAAAACATATAACACAAATATAAACATGAGATAAGTAACTATACATATTTGAGATAAAGAAACTACTTCAACTTTTGTTTTTGAAGAAATTAACTGACTTGCAATCAGAAACATCATTGAGGGGGATAGTGTGTTTGATGATACTACTTCGCCCTATATCATGATCAGATATGCTAAAGGCATGGGAGTATTTGCCCAAAACCTTTTCAACCTTATCTACATCATAGGGGGAGGGAAGAGAGTCCGAAAATTCTGTCTGATGTAGGAAACAACTAAGCATTTCCCTATTATAACTTTCTAAATTATTCAACTCCTCAAATAGCCCTAATTACAAACAAACTATTATCATTTCAATTTTTTTTAGATTGCAATCCTTTTAAATTCATTTGATCATTACGGCCTCTGATAGAGATAGGATTTAGAAAGTTACCTTTATTTCATTGTAAATGCAGAGAAGGTGACAAAGGAACATATGAAGATTTTTTAAAAACTACATGATATAAAGCATTTCGACTCGATCATTTCCCTCTCTGAAAATCAGGAATAATCAAGCCATCGCTAAGGAACACAACTTCCACATATCCGAGACCGGTGGCATCTACAGTAGTCGACATTCCTCCTCAAGGAGCATCAGCAGCAGTCGGTGAAGTTCTTACGTCTACAGCAAGGTTAGACTTGTTCTTAATAGCTAATCTGCTTTTTTAATCATTCGTGATTAAAATCTCATTGATGCGATAAGCCAAAACTTAGGGAACAATATCGATATTGTTCTCAGATATCAACTATATGTCAGCCTATATCAAAAAGGTATAACCGAGATTTTGTTTGCGTTCTGGTACAATGCTTTTGCAATGTCTCTACCAACGCCCATTGTGACTACAATTCTGATTTGTACTGAAAGGTGTATAGTCATATCCCCGTTACGTCACAGAAGGAAATGAAAGAGCGGAATAAGATTTATAAGAGTTCGGCGAAATCACATTGTCTCTTTCCATACGAATATTAAATGTAGTTGATATTCTTTGACCAAATGACGACATTTTGAGCATGTCAGAGTACTCGGATCAATCACGTAGAAACACATCAATGGGTCAAGGTTGGACTTAATTAGATTGAAGGGACATCCAACCTAATGGACAACTACTCTAAACGAAAGCAGACAAATCAGAGAAGCAAACTGATGAAAGTTTCAATTAAATCTGACTAAATGTAATGAAGATATGAATTTGTGAAAGTTGTAATCACTATGAAATGGCACTTGAAATTGGCTAAAGCGGTATATAACGTCAATGTGATGTAGTGCCGGACTACTTTCCTATCTGTTCCAACATAAAATGACCAAAATTTGTTCATGGCTCAGGGGGGTCTATTCTTTTTAGAAGACCTATGCTTGTATGCTATCTATAATATATTTTAAGTAGTGCCCCAAGGGAGAAGAAATTTACGAGAGAAACAGAAATTATTGATATTTGTATACACGGCAAATGGAAGAGTTATTCATCTCCTAGGTTATAATCTACTAATCAAACTACCAATTTCAGATTCGCATAGACTTAGTGATGTCATATTTCATACATTCATAACTTCCTTACTATTGGTCCGATTCATTTCAAACTTTTGCCGTTATGTTCTGTTTTTTTCTGCTTTCATACAAATTACCTTATTACTAGGGTTAAATTGCCCTTTTAGGTTTCCCTCGCGAAAACAAACTGATGATTTACAAAGCATCTCATATTTGAAGAGAGGAACGAATAATAATTAATTAATACTCAAAAAGGGAGGGAGGAGGATGGGGGTGTATTCAACCCACCCCCCCCCCTCTTAATGTTGTGGGTGGTACATGTTCGAAGAAAAAAAAAACGAACGAACCGTAGCGCCCCCCCCCCCCCCCCCCCCACACTGCTAGGGCTAAAGAGGAAGTCCACCCTGGTATCAAGTTGGTTTGTTAGAAGCAGACAAATAAGAGAAAAAGTCGGGAAAGTTTGGGCGAAAACCGATACAAAACAAGAAAGTTATCATTTTTGAAAGGTGCGGTCGTTCAAACCCAAATTGGCCACTCTGTGACGCATATTGGGAGGTCCCCTCCCATTTGCCCTGTACTCTTTATAATGTGTAAACAAATGTTTCATTATTTAAAAACTGTTGTAATAACTTGTAAATTCAATAGTATGAACCACTTGAGCCTTGCCCTTTTCCAACAATACTGAAATAATACAGTGCGACTCAGAAACAAACGAAACCGAGAATCATCATAACTTAATGTTTTATCATAACTTAATCACAATATAATGAATAAATGACACATATCTGTCAAGCTTAGATCATCCTGTTTCATTTGATGCGACCCCATGTGATGCGTATTTCACGCATAAGGGATTAAAAGCAATTTGAAGGAAGGAAACCAAAAAGTCATTTGGCGGGCGGTATCTGAATTTCGAAGAAAAATTCACATTTCTAGAAAGTTCATTTTTGCTTTTTAATATGACACCTTAATCAGGAAAAATGAGCCAGGAATAACAAAGTTCTGTTTGTTCAAAGTGATGCTTGCATTTCTATAATTTTATTAAACGAATTCGTTTTCACTGGCTGCCTGCCGTAGCAACAAACGGAATTGATAAAAGACTTAACTCCGTTTCGTTGACGATCACACATAGACGAAATACTTTATGCATGGCTGATTGTCAATGAAACGGAGTTAAGTCTTTTGTCAATTCTGCTCGTTGCTTTGCCACTGAATCACGACTGTACGCAGCGGGGGCTAGGGTAGGGGGCAACCCCACAAATAAAATAAAAAGATTGATAATGCAAAAAAATCTCAATAATTCATTGCATTTTACCCCGGTCCCCAACAGGAAAATTTCTCTGGACAGCCGTGCATGATGGTTAAAAATAAGAATCGAATGAAATAATTTCAATTGTCTGGCTTGAAGTCTGAACTTTAACCTAGGATAAGTTTTAAGTAATACTGATTGTATTGTCCATCTATTTGGAATATACTGACATTTCTATTTTGTATTCTTCTTATTCATGTTGGTGTTGCTAATGTTTGTATTCATGTTCTTCTGCTCTTGTTCTTGTTATTCTTATCCTACTACTAATTCTTCATTTTTCTTCTTCGCGTTCTTTTTCTTCTTCATTTCTCTGTTTTCTTCTTCTGCTTCGTCCTCTTCTTTTGCTTCATCATTATCATCATCACCATACTATCTTCTTCTTTAACATCAACATCTTCCTACTATTCCTCTAACAATATTCTAAAGGCTCTGCATTATTATCACTAAGATGACTACAGACTGCAAGTAATACAATGAGCATTATGCATTTGTTTAGCTTCAGAGTAAAACTATTACATGTCTTAGGAGTACTTCCTGGATTTTCTGAGGAGTTTCGATACATGTTCATGGCTCCCGGAATCTCGTATAGAGGCCTCTTCACTACATAATAAACCATTAGTGTAACCTATA